CTCTCTCTCTTCCACTTTAGAGGAAACTAAGCAGAACACAGTAGGGTCTGACTCCTTCCTTCTTTCCTTCCTGCCTGCCTGCCTGCCTGCCTTCTTTCCTTCCTTCCTTCCTTCCTTCCTTCCTCCCTCCCTCCCTCCCTCACTTCCTTTTCCTTCCTTCCTCCCTCCCTCCCTCCCCCTCTCTCTCGTGTTTGCACGCTCATTTGTGCGCCTGTGTGTGTGTGTGCGTGCGTGTGTGCGCCTGCTCTCAGTTCTCAGGAAGCGAGCACCCAAAAGGCTCGCTTGGGCCAAAAGGCTCGCTTCTTCCCAAGCACACCCGCCCAAAGGGATCATTCTCGCGGAGACGGAAGTGAGGAAGCCTCGCATGACACACAGCAACAAAGCACACACCTTCTCAGCTTGGCACAAGGGCGCCCGGGGGCTCCCGCAGTCCGCCTCCTCCTCCTCCTCCTCCTGCGCTACGCCGGGACTCTTCGCCCCCCAACTCCGGAGATGGGGAACATGGCATGCGTTCCCCAAGCGCCCGGCCGCTTCAGGTACTCTTTTTCCAGGAAACCCTCCTTCAAGAAAGAGTGAGTATCTCTCTGTTCTTGGCCTCCTTCAAACTCTTCTTTCCCTCTTTCCCGGAAAGTTTTTTACAAAGGGGATTCGGCGGCGGCGGCGCGTGTCATTTTCCCAAGGATTTATATCTCCCAAATGTGTGCAGAATATGATCCCCCGGCGGTGCTCGGATCAACCTCTTACATAGTTTGACTGCAAACTCTTTATTTTATTTTATTTTTTAAAAAAGAGTTTTCTTCCGCAGAGAGGAGAAGAAGGAGGAGGAGGAGGAGGAGGAGGAGGAGAAAAAAAGTTGTTTTATTTTAATCTGTCTTTGTTTCTGTCACTTCTGGGGCTTTTTTGCCTGTTAGACAGCGTTAAGTTTAGTCGTTTGAGAAAGCTGTCCCACTGGGAAAGTTGAGTCCTACTAACTCAAAATGTGCCATGCCGATTTTGGGGGGGCTTCAGGGAAGATTATTCCTTATTAAGTGCTTTTTGTGTTGCCTGGGATGTTCGGTTCTGTTGTAACCATGCTTTTTTTTTTTTTGGGTAGAAAAAAACCCACACAGTTAGTGCGAAGTTTTGTGGTCAAAGGTCTTTGCTTTACTTATAGAGACTGGCTAAAAATACCCCTCTTTCTTCCCCGGATCCTTCTAAGTTATTTACAATCCCAAATATTTTCCACAATGGCTAGGAAGTTCAGAATGGCATTAGCGGTAGAGGGGGGCGGAGGTCCCCAAAATAAAATCTGTAGAAGAGAGAGAAGAAAAGCATTCCAGAAATCTTGAGAAATGGGTGGCTTTTCTCTTTCTTTTTCAGCGGACGGGTTTTTTTTTTTTTTTTTTGTGTGTGTGTGTGTGTCTGCGTGCATGTCTACAAAGTTGTACTCTGAATCACCGACTGCCTAAAATCGCTGGAAGTTGGGTGGCTTGTAAATGTAATAATTATTGTTTCATAGTGGGTTGATTATTATTTTTTATTTACCTGCTTTGGACGGCGGGCGTGGGAAAAACCATCTCGAGCTGCGTATTCGTTGCCAGACGTGACTAATTTAATTGCACAGGGGACTGAGTCAAACTGGGAAGACTGGTGCCCAGTTTGAAGCGTGTCCATTTCCACTGGATCCTGTTCTGTCTTAGCAAACATACAGTGCAGTGTCTTTAGTTAAAAGAGCCATTTTTTTTGCTTTTTACGGAACTCAACTTGGTCTGCTAAAACGCTGCAAAACTTATCACTTGTCATTAGGCCTTCCTGTTATTTTGCTCCCCCAGAGAGGTCAGACTACAAATTCCATCGTCCCCAGCTAGCACAACTCATGGCATGGCTAGTATAAAATGGCTAGCAGGCCCTGTAGGATGTTGTTTTTTTTTGTTGTCATCCAATTTGAACATTATGGATAGTCGAATCTCCTCCCCCACCTTCCAGCTACGCCAAGGGAATTAAGTGTCAGCTTCAAATTGTTAGACAGCTAAGTAACCAGACACCTGAGCTCTCTATCACTCTGTGTGTTTGTGTGTGTTTGTGTGTGTGTGTGTAGGCACGCAACTGCTTTTAAAGGACAGTAGGGCTTAGATTTGGCGGTGAGATTTGGCGGTGGGCATTGGAAAATATTTCCCCATCTAGAATGGAAAGTCCAGTTTTCCACATGTTCCTGATTGCAAAAAATATGCAATTCACAGAGGCTGCGTGATTGTGCTTAAAAACACAAGACACCCCCCCCCATTTCAATTGCACCCTGCTCAGTTGCAAGGTGTGGAGGCGTTTATTTTTGTGACACTGCCACGAGGAATTGTGAAACTTTTTCTAAGGAAAGCAGCAGGCTTGCAGTGGGACCTGTTCCCCAAATTTGCTAAAATTACAGCAACATGGGAAATTGTGTGTGTGTGTGTGTGTGTGTGTGTTTCAGAATTCCTTTCCCAATCAATTAGATGGCTTCACTTATGTTACTTTTGTTTTGTTTGCAAATATTATCCATCTGTCCCTGTGTTCTTTGGTAAACTGGATAGGGAAATGAAATGACTGTCATACCGAAAGTTGGCTCATTTTGTTTTGTTAATGTTTGGGTTGTGTAGTTTGAGTTTTTTATTCTTTCCGATGGGCTAGGACAGATTGACACAGACTGATAAGAACCGATTAGAAGTCTGATGTCTTTTAGATGTGGTCGGTTTCTTGAATCTCAAGATTTAAAATCTTCCCCTGATCTCAAATGAGTGGGAGATAATACTCTTTTTAATCCCGCCACTATCGTCTGAAATGGACTCCTACTAAGAACAAAGAGGAGTGCTTAATAATTATTCATAATGTTAATAGAAAGCCCATTGCTCTAAATTATTATTTTTGATAATTGCAGTGCCTGTTGTGATTTATTAAGAGTCTCAGTTCTGGGTTGCCAAAAATCTCAGTAACCATTAGGGGGCAACTTAGAGAAAAATAAACCAAGGCTTTGCTGCCCCCTAGTGGTCGATGGGATTTAGGCAACCTGGATCTGATCACTGTCAATATACGGTATGTGGTGTTTCCCGTACTGTCGTATTTAAAAAATTACACCTTAGAGATAGCATTTTTGGGGAAGGACCAAAGACGCCACATCTACCACCTATGGTGGAATGTGGGTCCTATCAAAGAAATGCGCCACTTGAAGTTTGCCGTGACACTGATTTTAATGTTGGCAGTTAGAATATGGGGTGAAGTGCCTGTTTATTTTGCTGCTTATGAGTTATCTGCCTACCTGGTCTGGATTCAGGCACTAAACTATGTCAGGATCTACTTGGTGGGGAGAGCAGTTAAGATTTGCCTACAGGAATGTTTATATTTTAGACACCGATTTGCACCAGGCCCATATTTAGGTTGGGTAAAAACACAGTGTATGCTTAAATGCTGGTTCGTTTTCACTTTAATTGAGGTATATATGTTGGCCTTGTTGGGTTTTATGGTTGAGTGAATTAGTACACACCCAGAATGTAGGTTAATTCAGTAATAAGGAAATGTATATTACGCAAACTCGGCCTATTACAATGTATGCAATAATTAAGTTATGGTTCTTCCCTGAGGCCAATGTCACAACTTTGACTTAGGACCTTCCTTCCTTCCTTCCTTCCTTCCTTCCTTCCTTCCTTCCTTCCTTCCTTCCTTCCTTCCTTCCTTCCTTCCTTCCCTTTTAGAGCTAGAAATAAGAATTTTTTTTTGAAAGAACCATCAATGGAATGGCTTGCCTTCAGAAGTTGTGGATGCTCCATCATTGGAGGCTTTTAAGAAGAGATTGGATAGTCATTTGTCTGGGATGGTATATAGGGTCTCCTGCTTGAGCAGGGGGTTGGACTAGAAGACCTCCAAGGTCCCTTCCAATTCTGTTATTCTGTTATTTCCTTCCTTCCTTCCTTCCTTCCTTCCTTCCTTCCTTCCTTCCTTCCTTCCTTCCTTCCTTCCTTCCTTCCTTCTCTTCCCCTCTTCCTCAAACTGGCTAGACTTTCTGTAGTTCAACAAGACCGTAAAGCAAAGCTGGGGCAATATCCCTCATTCCTTTTCGCATTTTTGACGGTTGGCGAGTTTCAAACATTGATGGCCCTAGTGATAAAATAAATTGCTCTTTCCCTCTTTCCCCTGTGCCTTCCTGATTCCCTTTGTTTGCTCGCCTTGATGTTTTTGTGGCCCTCTTTTATTGCTTTTCAGACAAGAGAGCAAGAAAAAACTGGCCGAGCTCTTTGGGTTTGAGGTGGAGCAGGAGCGAGATGTAACTTCAGACAAAATTCTCCAATATATTCCTGCAAAGGTAAGTCATTTTGTGGGGAGGATGTGTAATTCTCCACTCCTCCTTCGCTTGCAGTGTGCGGATCCCTGCCCAAGACGGTGCCAATGGAAGGTGGGCTGCTTTGGAATTCAGCACCCATCATTTCCAGACAGTCGGTGGCAGAGGATGATGGGACCTGTATTTCTTACTATTTGGAGGTTACAAGAATGGGGGGAAAGCGCTTGCTGTGACCTCAGAGGTATAAACCCTGAAAAACTCGATTGTTGTTACTTCTTGACGAGAGAGAGAGAGAGAGAGAGAGGAGAGAGAGAGAGAGAGAAAGAAAAAAGAGAGAGAGAAAGAAAAAGAAAAAGAAAAAAGAGAGAGAAAAAGAAAGAAAAAAGATAAAAAGATAGAAAGAGAAAGAAAAAGAAAAAGAGAGAAAGAAAGAGAGAAAGAAAGAGAGAGAGAGAGAAAGAAAGAAAGAAAAAGAAAAAAGAGAGAAAGAAAGAGAGAAGGAAAGAGAGAAAGAAAAAAGGTAGAAAGATAGAAAGAAAGAAAAGAAAGAAAGAGAAAAAATATAGAAAGAAAGAAAGAAAAAGACAGAGAGAGAAAGAAAGAATGAGAAAGAGAAAAAGAGAGAGAAAGAAAGAAAGAAAGAAAAAGAAAAAGAAAAAAGAGAGAAAGAAAGAGAGAAGGAAAGCGAGAAAGAAAAAAGGTAGAAAGATAGGAAGAAAGAAAAGAAAGAGAAAAATATAGAAAGAAAGAAAGAAAGAAAAAAACAGAGAGAGAAAGAAAGAATGAGAAAGAGAAAGAGAGAGAAAGAAAAAGAAAAAGAAAAAAGAAAGA